TTAATCAAAGAGTACAACTGTGTTTTAGTGGCCTTAACTGAAAATTGTATATTGTTATTTTTTAGCCATTGCTGCATATCTGACTTCTTTGTATTGGAAGTTGGGCACCTATTGTTTGGATCTCGAACATAGATAGGGAGCATTGTCCATGACAAGAAGACTTTTGTAAGACAGAGCTGGCAACAAGTGTTCCTCAACATACTGTGTGAAAACCGTTGAGTTCATTTCTGTATGATAGTCCCTACCATCTGTGCTCTTTGACCGAAATACCAGATCACGACCAGGTAGGAATCCACGGTGGGAGCCAGCATGAAGAACGATTAAACGTTCACCTTTGCCTGTTGGTATTTTCCTACCATCACTGGGATCAGTGGGTAGCCACTGTCTGGCAGCAGTATGGTTTGCATTGACCCAGGTCTCATCCAGATATATAAGTTCTAACCCATCCTCTCTTGCCTGCTTAATTTCTCTCAGATAGTTACACCTTACTTTCACAATATCAGATCTCTCACACATTAAAAGTTTCTGGTTTGCTACCTTCTTGTACTTGAATCCAAATTTGAGCAGTAGTTTGCTTAGCATAAACCTAGAAACATTAATGTCGTGATCCTCTGCAAGGATGTGTTTTAACTTTCTTGTGGACAGGTGTTCATTTCTAGCAAATAGCCGGCGAATGACATCTCTGATGACCCTGATGTTAAAAGAATCTAACTTTGGATGCCTACCTTTTTGTACAAGGTTTTGTTTATTGGTTGTTGGTTTATTTTTCACAATTTTTAGCACGATGTACTTTTTCATGCCAAGAGCAAAAGTTGTACGTTTCATGTCATCCGACACCTTATAAATCGGTTTGCTACGTTTGCTCTCTTTTTAAAACAAATTCAACACATTTCTAATTAAACGTTTAGCATCATCTGAATAAGCTTTCATGATGACAGCTAGAAGTAGTCAATGTGAATGATCCAAACGGTCTATCACTGTGCAGTGCACAGGTAACTATCATGAACTGCACGTGCATTACCTTTATGACCCAACACTGACGCTGTTACAGGCCATTAGCTCCCTCCCTCTGCAAGCAGTCTGCGTTCTGCTTTTTATTTTGTTGACAGTTACATAGGCAGATTCTTTAATACAAATGCATAAAATCGGTGATTTACAATGTGATTGGGTTGTCTGACAAAACATCCACTTGCACAGTTTGAGATCGATTGGATTATTGGATGAAGAGATATTTACAAAAAAACGGGTCCACATGCATTGTATGCCAAACTAAATGCTTTAAATCTGGACTGAAAAAGTGAGACAATTCGATTTTGTCGATATAACTTTTTTATTTGAAAAGCAAGCAGAATTTACAGGTTTTTGGTTCATACCATTGCATTCAGCACAAAATTTTGGTCTAGTGCCGTGAAAAATATCTATGTTTTTGTGCCATGAAGAATTAAGATGGCTGCCCATGACGTCGACGAGGTGACAATGATGATGATTTGGGAGATTTATATGCGCTTGCCCATATAATGTCTATTTTGCACATGGCTCGTCGACAACATGTGTACTCCCTATTCATATTGGCCTCCCTCCCTCTCTTTCTTTCTCTCTCTCTTTCTTTCTCTCTCTCTCTCTCTCTCTCGTTCGCTCGCTCTCTCTCTCTCTCTCTCTCTCTCTCTCTCTCTCTCTCGCTCTCTCTCTCTCTCTCTCTCTCTCTCTCTCTCTCTCTCTCTTCGCTCGCTCTCTCTCTCTCTCTCTCTCTCTCTCGCTCTCTCTCTCTCTCTCCCCCTCCCCCCACCCACCTCTCTCGCTCTCGCTCTCTCTCTCTTCATAAAATATGTCCATAAAGCGTTTCCATAAAAGGGTATAAATACATGGGGAAATAGATGTGTCAGAACATGACATACACTTGCTGACTGGTTGTAAATGAGCATCACCTATAGACCTGTACCCATGTACCACACACACTCCCTGAGAACATACACATTTATTAGGAGATTAAAGGTAATGGGTGTACTAATGTCCTCTACGTTGTCACCTGCTGCACTAATTATATAGATTTTATTGATATGTAAGCGTTTCTACTGACAGCAGCCTTCACTTAGCTTTTCAGTACGGCAAATATATGTACATAGTTTCACTTTACCCACATGTGTCACTGAGTACCTTATCAAGTATGCATAAAGTTATCATCAATATTAGGGACTCATTGTGACAGCGACAACATCATCTAATGTGTTAAGTGTTACAATACATTTTATACATACCCCTCGCTGTTATCCAGCAATGATTTATGAATATATTGGGTATATCTAAGATATCTGTCAGACGGATGCAAAGCGTATTGGTGAGACAGAGTGACAAACACCTTAAATATGTCCAATATGCTCATGAATTATTGTTGGATACAAGCGACTGTTTATAAAATGCCAGGCAGTTGACTGTAGGATAGCTAAATAAGTTTAAGTTTTAAAAACGCTTCTCGGCTAATGTTTCAGTGTTGTTGTGTGTTCGACCTGGTTGAGGATCCAGGTTTGAGAAGTTGGTAGTCTTAAGTCTAAAGCCCTGTTTATACGCCGACATTTGCACACGTGTGTAGTTTTTGCATATATGTAAATTTGCTTACATGAGTATATTTGGTCGTATAAACGCAGTTACAAATATGCAAATTTTACTACCCCAAGCAAAAATACTCCTGGCCTAGTCTAGAAGCAAATGTTTTACTACCGGCAATGGCGAACACGAAAGAAACTCGTGGTGCCAAAAGACGCGGTTCCGCTAGGAATGACGCAGAAACAAAATGCCTTTTGGCAATATGGAAAGAGAACAGTATAGAGGAATTACTGGAAACCCCCAAAGCAACAATGTTTCGGTGTACAATACTGTCGCGACAGAAATGGGTGCAAAAGGATTCAACAGGACATCTGACCAATGTAAAGTGAGAATCCATACCTTAAAGAGGCAATACAGAGAGTGTAAATCAAACCTGAAGAAAAGTGGAAAGGGAAGGAAACTTTGTAAGTTTTTTGAAGAACTGGACGCCATTCTTGGTACCAGACCAGCCTCGTCGCCTCTGAAGGTTATAGATACATTGACCAAGAAAGTCGAAGATGAAGAAGGTGAACCTGCTGATACAGCACAGGCAAACACACAGTCTGTTGGTGACAGTTGTGCTGACATTACACCTCTTGCTGATAATGAAACTGAAAGGGATGAAGAGGATGCATCTGACACGGAAAGCAGAAAGAATAAAAGAAAGGAATCCACTTGAGGGGAAAATGAAAGGCAAAGAGCGAGAAGAAAGAGCTCGGAAGACGAGGATGGAAGTAGCACTGAAATCTGTGATGGATGGATTTAGTGCAGCAAACGAGAGAGCTGATGATAAGGTTCATGACTTTGAACGCCAAGATGGAATCAGATGAAAGACAGAAGCGTGAAGAGAGACAGCACCAATTCAACATGATGAATATGATTATGAGAGCTGTACGGGGGACAGGACAGCAGCCCAACACCTGTCCCATACAGCACGGGTCGTACAGCACAGTATGATTATGAGAGCTGTACGGGGGGACAGGACAGCAGCCCCCACCTGTCCCATACAGCACGGGTCGTACAAAACAGTATGATTATGAGAGCTGTACGGGGGGACAGGACAGCAGCCCCCACCTGCCCCATACAGCACGGGTCGTACAGCACAGTATGATTATGAGAGCTGTACGGGGGGACAGGACAGCAGCCCCCACCTGTCCCATACAGCACGGGTCGTACAGCACAGTATGATTATGAGAGCTGTACGGGGGGACAGGACAGCAGCCCCCACCTGCCCCATACAGCACGGGTCGTACAGCACAGTATGACGGAGGTGCAATGGTCAGAGGTCCCGGCCCTTCATCAAGCCATTCCTCGACAGTCAACCAACAATCTTCAACTGAAGATTCTAGGATAACTGATTCTGAAGATGGAACAAGTTTCTACAATTTGTAGACTTCATGAATGACACAAGACTATAAATGATACATTCATGATTATTTTAACTATTACTCAATTCTGTGTTCTCATCAACCGCCCTGAAGATTCATTGGCGTTTTGTTTCTATTTCATACTTCGAGTTAGTTCCAGTTTGTATCTTGAGACGTTTCCGTTGTGGAAATTAGGTCTTTGTCCAGCCATATTCTTTATGCTGCTGTAATCATCATGAAATCTCCAACGTTCCTCATAACCCTTGATAACATCCTTCAATGCATCTCCCTGGGGGAACCTGACGTAGTCGGTCAGGAGAAGTTTCATGATGGCTCCACACACTTGATGGACGCTGACACAAAGGGTTGCCTTCCCGACACTAAAATAAAAAGGTTGGCCACAGTTCTATACTCTGCGGAGGAAGCCATCCAATAGATTGTTATAGCAACGTTTTTCTTCACATCCAATGGTTCCTCAACCGTATGATCAGAGGGGGAGAGCTCATCGTTTAGTCGAGTGCAGATCAATTCATATGTTTCTCGTTGCATTCTAAAATTTTCCAACCGTTCGGCATCATTGAAATGATTGCCAACAACTTCAGTATACCAATGACTAGATCTTGGCTTTCTTCTAGAATTTCGATCATGGGAACATCCCAGTATCAGACCAACACTGATGTAATATGGGAAATGCCTATACCTTCTTGATATCTCACGTCTTACTCCTTCCATTGCTAGGGCAGATTTACTACCACTTTGCCTAAAGTCCCCATGAACGCATAGAAAATTGCACATTCTAGCAAATTACACACCCTATGTAAATATACTTATGTATGCAAATTTGCACATGTGTATATTTTCGTAGTATAAACAGGCCTTAAATTTTAGGAGTGACTATTGAGGGGGAAACAACTATTGCGATAGCGATAGTCTATTACAACAACATACTATTGCGACCAACTATCGCAATACTATTGCAATATTTGTTCTCTCCTTAAAATGCTCATTTCCCAAATGAATGTATAGTTTATATGAAATAAAAACAAGCTGAAGTAGTTTCAGTCTATTTTAATAACTCACAAGACGCTTGAAACCCAGATAAAGTAAACAGTTAAAACATAAATTCAATGAAGCTGCAAGTCTGCACCCAAACATCCTGTTTTTGCGCTGCGCATTTATCAACGGCAGTCAATTACTACACTATCGATAGTCACACATATTATCGATACTTCGATAGTTTTTCGCTTCTTCCATCGATTAATTGGTATCGGAGAGTCAAAACTTTTAATCCATGGATGATAGTTCGCTGCATCTTCACAGCCCTACTAAGTGTAGCGCAGCGCAACTAAGCGGCGAACCAGGAGACGTGACTGGGAACATTGTGTGTTCTTGGCTGCTGCAGTAGCGGGTCAATTTAAACAAGTTATGTAGGGGAAAATATACATTCTCAGGTGTATTATTTCTCAACCTTTCTGTTTATTGCCACGTCCAGCAACATTCCATTGAGCGGCATGGGTTGCTGAAGAAGGCTATCCTCCTTACCTTCCTTTCGAACATACCTGACTCAATAGGTAAAATATATTATATTTATACTTCAAAGATTAACGTGAAACACTAACACCCTCATTGTATCATCGTTTAAAGGATCGGAATACATAGTTTATATAATATAGAGTCAAAACTTCAGACTTCAGCCAAACCTACTGACGACAGATGGGCCAGATTCGTCATAGTCCTTCTTGGTAATACACAGCTCGTTGAAAGTTGGTAGAGACGCCATCTGGGATCCTCCATGCCAGGCAGAGAGAATTCTGTCAGGCGGAGCAATCACCTTGACCTCCACGTCAGGCCCAGCAAGAGCAGATACCTCCTTCCTGATTCTGGCTTCCATTCCAGGGAACATGGTGTTTCCACCTGCCAACAGGATGTTCTGGTATAACTCTTGGCGGGAGTTGGTATCACACCCCATAATTGAGGCGTTGATCATTCGATGGATCCCAGGCTCATTGACATGTACTACGGACGGTTGGAATAGACCCTCCGGACCTCTAAACCTCTCGCTGTTAACAGTGATGTCGCTACCGTCGGCAAACTCATATGTCATCTCCAAAGATTTAGAAGATGCTGCCGTTATCATTTCCTCATCAAAGTCAGCAGCAACATAACAAACGGCTTTTTTCATTTCCTCGATGACTTCCAGATCAGTATTGAGCGTCGTAGACAAGAATTCTAAGACACAATTTCCAGCTAAGAAAGACCTCCTGACGGCTTCATGTACTACTGTGTTGCCCTGGATTGGGGTGATTGTTGTTAATTCAGCGCCAGATCCCACAACAATCCCCGATGTCAGCCCGGATGCCGCCAGCGAGAGAGACGCCGTGTCAGCAATATACATTGCAGGAGCTTTGAAGGTCTCAAACAGGATCTGAGCCATCCGTTCTTGGGTGTCTTTGCTGGTGATAGGAGGTTTTGTAATAAGGATAGGATGGTCCTCCGGAGAAGCTTCGAGCCTGCTGTAGGCGTGTTGCCACACCTTCTCTATGTCCTCCCATCCTGTAATGCTCCCGTGATTTACAGGAAATCTGAGATTGAGAAGAGACCTCTTTTGGATGGCCTCCGTGCCATAATAGATCTTCCCACCGTTGAACGAACCCTAAAAAGAAACACAAGAATGTAAAATTAGTGGTGTAAGATCTAATGACACAGTTTGGTATAGGATACATTCGCTGACCAAAGGATCTCTTAATGCGATTAATGACCTGACTCAGACAATGCCAAACAGTAGAGTTGTTGCTTCTCGGTACCTGGACTGTCAGCACGTTAAGATCTGTGGAATTCGGTTTGAACGAAACTATGTGACACAATAGAGATAATACCATTATATTGTCACCAGTGTTTCAACACTGACAACGCCAAACCTTGTCATTTCCCCTTCTATGGATTTTCAGCACACTGCCCCCTCAAGAGAAATGTCAAATGTGCAGAAAGGATGAACTATCTGTGATATGTTCAAGCAGCTGAAACGTAACCTTGGTTTGTACCACATTTGCAAAGTTTGGATCACTCCCACGGTAAAAGCGGCCTGCATTTTCGGAATGTTGAAAAAAGATGATTACTCGGGCATATTCACCTTACTATACTGCTTTTGGACATTTCCAGACAGTAAGTTTTTAGCAGAGGCAAGAATCACGGATCGGTCTCCGTATTAGAGAACCCGAATTGGCGACATGAGTCACCCCTCCCCCATCGGTCAAGAATCCGAAGGGGGGAGACATAACCCTGGCGAAAGACACAAACTGACCACAGGGACCAACACCAAACATGGAATGGGGGAAAAGCCGGGAACGGGCAAGGAATGTCAGCTATGTCAATTAATGGATGGTATAAATGATTGTGAACCAGCAGTGCTAGGCAGTTCGGACTGAAACTCAGAGTTCAGAGCCACCCCTTGTAACTAGACCAGAATAAATCGTGTGGACCCCAAGACGGACTTGTGTGCTGATTAGAGTCATATCCCCCAGAGCATCAACCTACTGAGGCGGAGCCACGATCCAAGTACCTCTCAAGCTACAAGAACTGAGGTTAGTTTGACTTTTTTCCTACATTCACTTCGTCTGGGGTCCACACCAGCAACGATTCTATTCTGGCTCTGTATTAAAACTCTCAAACACTTAATAACTGGTATCAACTCTATAACCACAGTCTTGTCAGTGCTTGCAAATCCAAGGGCTGTCAAAGCACTTTACGTGAGATCTTTCTAATGAACGTTCAGCTGAGCAATAGCCCCATCAGGACACTGAGCTCACCATCTCTAAACAGCGTGTTTCAGCAGTGTCAAAATTCATTGTTACAAGCTGTGCCTGCCACTAAACATATCGACGACCAAGATCTAGGTTCCCTGCTCCCATCCAACTGGAACCATTGCTCCTAACGACGTCAGGAACCATCACTACCTCGACGACACCCACCTAGATTCCACAGTTCCAGCCTCGTGTTACCAACACCTGTGTCCCTACACCAACAACGCAAGACCACCCAAGCCTGCTACAGGACATAGTGCCAAGTGACAATTGTGAAAGGACTGTGCTACACCACTCTCCACGTTGGTGAGCATTTGTTTTGTTATTGGTGATTTTGTGCATGGTAAATTGATTCCAACTGTTGTCACATTTCTCCCACCATCCATTACAAAATGTCTTTCTATAACCTCAAGCCCGTAAATGCCGAAGATCGTCTACCACTGCTTAGTCCGGAAATAGCATATCAGAGTACTCCCGCTACCACTCCCCACCAGCCTATCACTCCTATAAATCCTTCGTCCCCCTCCCGCGACCCCTTTTCACATAATTTGGTCACATTCGATGAAACTGGGCCGGACACACCTTTATCTTCCCACGCCATTAGCAAAGCTCCCAAGGCCTCACCGCTAATTACAGATTCCTTAGTACCAACTTTCAATGTAGGGCCCAATATCTCCATTGTTACAAATGCAACAAGCAAGGCCATCTTATCCGTATGTGCCCTAGTCAGACACAATATAGACAATGATGCCAGATGAATGCTGTGCCAGAGACACAGCAGAAACCTCCTACTCCTCTTATATCCAAAACTCTTAATAACATTAATCTAGCACACAGCACAGTGGCAGTTACCATCAGTAACACCCCATTTAAGGCCCTTGTAGATACTGGTGCAAGCGCAAGTTGTATTGGCCTTTCCCACTTCAACAACCTTAGGGGGTCTGATAAATTCCCCCTTACGCCCAGTGGTTCTGCCCAATTAGCTGGTCCAGATGGCAGAACGCCTAATGTGCCCGGGTCAGCCGACTTAGTCGTGCACATTGCCAATCTTAAACTATCCCATAAGTTCTATGTAGTAGAAGATCTACAACAGGACATCTTGCTTGGCCTTGACTTCCTCCAACAACATTCAGCTTCAGTTGACTATAACAGACTCTGTCTTTACCACGGTTTAGCCGAAGCCCCATTCCTTAGCCCACCAGCAGATCATATCTTAGCCAGATGCCCCACACATGTCTGTATTCCTCCTCGATCAGAGCTGTATTTGCAATTAGACATCCCAATTAACACCACGACAGGCTCCCCTGGTATGCTGCAGCCACTCTGTACTTTGCCCCAAACTCATCAGGTCATAGGTATACATTGTGTAGTGAGATGTGTCGACTCTCAGGTTCCTTATAGGTTACTCAACCCAACCAACTCTACAATTACCTTGCCAGTAAACACACCTGTTGCTATGTTTGAGTCACTTGAGCCGAACTTTGACTTGGGTCCACTTAGAGATACCTCATCTGAACAGTTAAAGACAATCAATCTGTATCTTTGACTGACAGCCAAACTACTACTGACTTGACGCAGCAAGCATTAGAACTAGACATTGACCTTTCCTCAGCTGATATATCCCCCGAACAGAAACAGACTTTGTTATCCTTCATTGGCCGAGACCGTGACCGTTTCGCTAAGGACACCAGTGAACTAGGCAGGACTCACATGTTCTCTCATTCTATCGACACTGGGGATAGCCATCCTGTTCGTAAACGCCCCTACCCAGTACATCTCACACATAGACAGGCAATGGACACACACATCAAGAGCATGTTAGACAATGACATAATTGAGCCTTCCTTTTCCCCATGGTCTGCCCCTGTCCTATTAGTTAGAAAGAAATCTTTTGCTTTTGCATCGACTTCCGAGAATTGAACAAATTATCTCGGGTGCAGCACTATCAAATAGGGAATATTGATGAATCATTAATGTCACTGGGAAATAGTCATCCTCAGATTTTCTCATCGCTTGACATGATGAGCGGGTATCATCAGATTCCCATGTCCCCGGACAGCCGGGAGAAAACTGCCTTTATTGCCCCTGGTCACGGACAGTTTCATTTCAAAGTCATGCCCTTTGGACTGGTCAATGCACCATGTTGTTTTCCCTTCATTATGTCCTCCATATTCTCAGGAATGTCCTACAAATATGTCTTAACATATTTGGACGACCTGTTGATTCACAGCGCGTCCTTTGATGAACACCTTCAACATCTAGAAGCAGTTTTCAACAAATTTCGGGAGGCTGGGCTAAAACACGTCTGAAAAAGCATTCCTGGAGTTAAAACAAACCCTTATCTCTTCCCCAGTACTGGTGTACCCTGACTTCAATAAGCCCTTCATCCTAGCATGCGATGCTGTGACAGCAGCATAGGCTGGGTACTATCCCAGATCGACGATAGCCAACAGGAACACCCTGTAGCTTTCGGTGGCAAAAGCCTCAATAATGCACAGAAACTGTACCCTGTCACTGAAAAGGAGTGCCTGGCTATTGTTGAGTTACTCTTCAAGAGGTCAAGTGGTATGAAGGATTTTTCTCCAAATTTTTACTAATAGTGGGACGAGAAAACCAGCTAGCGTCAATAGTTCATTCTCAGTCTCAGTCTCTGATGGCAGGTATTCTCCAACCGTTAAGGCGTCGCTTGTCCCCTACCGTCGTACCTTTACATACCTTATCCACAACTATTTCCTCCATTCAAGAAAAAGTGGCCTAAAACTACCCTGCATTTAAACTCCGATACACCGATGCCACCATGTATTACACAGATGTCGACGTCCACATGGCCCGCCATAACGACATGCTATTTGTGACCCTACCTGTGCCTTTAGTGTCAGACAGTACTGTACTGCGCGTTTACACGACATCGACGTTCTCACTTCCAGCTTACGTGGCATCCCCTCACGCTACTATAGTCCGTGATGTGGCTCCATACATTGCCATCTCCAGGGAAAGTGAGACATATGTAGAACCAGTGGCGGATCCAGAGGGTGGGGGTTGGGGTTCAGGGGGTTCGACCCTTTTGAAAATGACTTAAGACCACATTGAAAAAAAAAATTTGCGTTGGCAAAGGGGGTTCAGAGGGTTTTAACCTCCTGAAACAAACAAAGCAACCCCCAACCCCACCCCACCCTTTTCAAAATTCCTGGATCCGCCCATGTGTAGAACTTCAGGTTGAACAATAGGAAGCGTGTAGTGGACAGTCACACATTCACTGTGATATACTGCCACCAGAATCCTCGTTCGCTTCACCGAGTTGTACACTCGCCCTATTCCTTAACGACATCGATTTGGTACATGGGTTATGTAACTTTCATTTTTTACCAAATGGCACTAAGCCAGACATTTTTTAACTTAGGTCGGGTAAAGTCGTTTTACAAAACGTACGTGATATCAAGTATAAATGTGGAGGAGAGGTTAAGACCCACAAGGGATGTAGTTTGTGTCTCGCCCCCATGTATTGTTCATGCTCACTACACGCAAGCAATAAAACTATTCCCCCCACGTCTTAAAGACTGCAGTATCCATAATAATGTCACCCAAGTAAACTTTGGGTTTTTACGCCAATTCTTCGATACAGATCAAATCCAAAACTCCATCCCCACATTGTTAGCTCAGGAACTGGTTCAATACAAAACGGCACCACTTCGTTTGGCAAATAGTACTTTCAACAACTTATCAAAACTGATAAACAACTAAGTGTCAATCTCAAACATGTGGTGGCACAAGCAAAGGCAGACCAAAATATCTATACTGATCCTTCCGACCCACTATTTCTAAATTGCTTGAGCGGAGAGTCCGATACATTTAG